GCGAAAGCTTCTTTCAAAGCTTCAAACGCAGTCTCACACGTTTCACGCCACACATACGTGGCATTCTTGCTTGTTATTTTCAAGACTGGGTGAGCAATGACAAAAAAATTGGCACAAACTTTCGATAAAATGAAGCCAAACCGAGAAAGGAACGCAGTTCGTGTACATTCGCCGGTTGAGGTCACTTTCGTATGACCTCAATTTTGGTTGCCTCACGCTCGAGGCCGTTGGCGGACAACCGGTGCCCAAGATAAACAACATTGTCTCTCCCAAACTCATATTTCTCTAAGCTCAAAAGCGACTTTGCCTCCTTAAGGATCTGCAAAACTTCCTCAAGGTGCTTGAGGTGCTCTTCCATGGACTTGCTGAAAATCAAGATGTCGTCATGGTAAACAACCTCAAACCTGTTGAGTTGATAGCAGAAGACCTTGACCATGAGGCACTGAAAGGTAGCTGGTGCATTTGTGAGACCAAAGGGCATAACGATAAACTCGTACAGCCCATCGCGCGTCTTGAATGCGGCTTTGTGCTGGTCGGCCGGGTCAACTTCAATGTGGTGGTAGCCAGACTTGAGGTCAATCTTAGAGAAGACCTTGCACCCACTTGCAGCATCCAGCAAATCATTTGTGCATGAGAAGTTATAAGTGTTCTTTCTAGTGATACAGTTTAGGGCACGATAGTCGATGCACATCCGGAGTTTGCCTCCTTTCTTGGGCACAAACAGGACAGGTGCACTGAACTCAGACTCACTAGGCCTAATCCATCCATAATCAATCATGTCATCAATTTGTCTTCTCAGCTCCTCCAACTCGCCTTGCCCCATACAATAGATGCAACCCTTTAGGAACACTCTCTTCTACTATCTCGATCTTGTGATTGATCAAACGCTCGGGAGATCCACGAGGTTCAACCAAGACTTCCTAGTAGACGACAAATGTTTGCTGAGACTTCTGGTGGAGAATCATCCTCATCAGGAGAGAAAATCAGTTTAAGAATTTACAACAATAACAACCGAATTTGAAGTAGTTGGATTAGAAGTAGACTTATCTTCAAGAGGAGAAGTAGATGGAGTAGAAGTAGAGTTATTTTCCGGGGTAGAAAATGCAGCAAAAGTAGAAGGCACATGGATAGGGTTGACAAAGGCTACATGCAAATGCTCACCTTCCTTGCGCTTGCGCACCAATTTGCAAAATTTGTTCGCACTCAAAAGAGTCACTGGGGACCCACACGTCTTGTCCAACAAGACCGTTTGCTCATTCGCACCACGTACTGAGTATCCGCCCACGTGGTCCTTAGACAATAGGCCTTCAACGGGCCCAAACCAATGACCGCGTCGAAGGGACACTTGTCAAGGACATAGAAATTCAACTCATGTGTGACAATGCGATTTTTGTCAAAGGTGACGTGCATACCTTTGGCAGCATGTATTCAGGTGACAACCTCGTGGTTGCCTACCTGGGTTCGACAAGGGTTCTGCAGTTCCACTTTCGTTATTCCCAGGTCCGCCTTATGAATCTCGTTAGGAGAAAATAAGTTAGTTGTGGATCCATTATCAATCAAAACATGGATGTATCGGCGGTTGATGAGCAACTTAAAGAAGATCATCTCCACATCCCCTTGAACACGGCGTTGCGGCTTGAGCTGCATCCAATGTTCCAGGTGAGAACGGAAGTTGACTTTCTTAGTCTTCTCCCCAGGCTCGGTGTAAAGTACTTGGAGTGCAAGATCCTTGGATCCAGCATCCGTTCGGCCTTCAAGAGCAGGCTGTTGTCAGATTCGGGGTCCTTGGAGGGGCCTGCAACTGACTGTTCAACTTTTCCTGTTGTAGAGAGTGCTGATAACTTTTCTATGCCCTTTGCCTGTTTCCCCTGCAAACGGTAACAATCCTGCACAGCGCGACCAGGATTTTGACAATGCAAAAACACGCGCAGTTTGGATCTTATGTCTCTTTTTTTTTCCTAATGCGGAGGGTTTCTCAAGGCTTGGTGGAAGCATCCTCCAACTTCTCGGGAATCTTTGCATTATTGGGAAGGTGGGTTATGGTTCCCTTACCTGCACTGCGGTTTGGCCCCTTGCCTGAAGCAGTCTTTCTAAAGGCATTAAGCTTCTCTTCTCCATTCATGTTAGACTCAAGGGCTGATGTGGAACAACCCACATCCGAGTCTGGTGTCTTTGCACGCCTGGCGAGGTCTTTGGACTCTAGGTTGACTAGATCCGCTAAGAACTCACGCCAAGTCGAATGCTCCTTGATTCCTAGTCGAGAGACATATTCTTCAGGGGCCACTCCCATAACTATATCCATGCAAGACACGTCCTTCCATCCCAGGTTTGGAGTAGTGAACAGACTAGTCAAATGTTGTTCCAAAGCCTGCATGAAAGTCCTCCACTTTTGGCCCTTGAGGGCCTCAAGTTTCAGCCTTGCTTTGAGAGGAACGTGCTTATCTTGATATTGCGCGATGAGGAGGTCCTCAAGACTACGTACATGAGTCACCTTCAACCAGTCAGTCAGGTCAATGCTTTCGTAACCTACATTGACAACTTGGAGGTCAATAAAACTCCATACGGCGGGCTCAATATTTGTGCCCCTGACCATACTTCAGTCTTCCTGCGGTGTTTGCAGTACCTCGAAGTATGAGCGAATCGAGCTGATCCAGGAGGTAATATCCCCCTTTCCGTCGTACCTAGACGGCATTGTGGGCGCCCTCTTGTCCATCATGGGACTTCTATACTGTACGCCAACAGGAACTGCGGCGTTTTGGGCTGGTGACCCTGCATTTGGGACTGGGACAAGTGCAAAATTGTCAGTGCTGCTGCTTGAAGAGCTGGCACCGGTTCCTGCGCTCGTCGCGGTTCCACTTGATCTTCGCATGAGGACTGCGTTAGAGGGGAAGATTGGGACAGCAGCAAGACGAGGATTAGAAGGACGAGGGATGGTCAGTTGGGCCTGCTTGAGGCCTGCAATCTCAACCTGCAGTTCTTGGTTCCGCTGCTCTAGAGTTGTCACGTGTGACTCAAAATCTTTGAAAGTCCGCAGCTGAACCAAGGCTGCTACGGCAGCGGCTAACTTCTCTCCGAACCGGGTATCACTGGTCTCTAGAACAACGAGGAGAGCCACTTGGGCACCAATACTTGCTGCTCTAGCTGCTGCCTCTGCCTCCTCTCTGTGCAATGTATCCTCATGCGTCCAGCATGGCCTGCTATTGGGCAGATGAGATGTCTGTCATGGTGGAGGATGGGGTGTCAGTAGATCCCTCAAGAGAGGTTCGCTCTTCGCTCAGGTTTGGACGAACACTCCTCTTACCCCTCCCCACACTCTCAAAAAGAACACCACCTCTCTCCCTTCTCTCTCTTTCCTCTTTCTACTCTCGCGTCTCAATATTGGACATAGATAATTCAGATAAAGAAAAAGGAAAAAAACATCACAAAAGAGAAGGTACAACTCCTAGCCGGAGTGACAATTCATTTGGACTAGAGAACGGCATCCACGCAGGAGAGGTTTGACTTAACAAATGGGTCCGGTCAGATCAGACTGGAGATCCCCTCTTGCCTAACCCAACATGGAACATGCATCACGAATAAGTCAGACAAAAGAAAACTAACTGAAACAATGGAGATTTTGAGGGGTGCAAACAGTCGCTGAGCCAGACGTAGGGCAGCATGCGAGAACATGTGGTAAGACCAGTCAAGATCCACTCGAAAGGAATGTCCCTACTAACTGTGTGTCCCCCAATTCCAGCACAGCAAAGGAGTGCAACGGACGGCAACAGATTTGGGGCCAAAGGGTCCTGTACCGTTGGGCCTGGTCCCACTGAGTCCCGAAGGGTCCCAAGTAGGTCATGGACCAGGAACAACCGGAAGGGTATCCCAGGATGGTCCCACACAGCCTCTACCGTACTGAAAGGGAAAAGACATCAGCAAGAACCTACTAACTCCAACCGTTCAGAAGCAAAAGACAATGCACTGTTGAAAGAAATGCCATTGAGAACCAGATACATCATCCATCTATCCATCAGGTGAGAAAGCAATCCACATGCTCACACACACAACCAAGACCACCGAGAAGACGAAGACAGCCCAGCACGATCCCCAACAGGCCACGAAGCACCAAGCAACCACCTGTGGGCATACCCAAGTCACACGGCACTTACCTGTGAGGCCCAGCCTCCGAAGATGAAATAATAACTCACCCCCCTCTCTCATAGGTCCTCCTGATGGATGGAGAAGGCCGAGCTGGCTCCCACCTTGGCTATGGTGGAAGAAGCCAAGGGGAGGGAGGAAGAACATGACTTATTTCGTGCGTGGCGCATGCACGACTATGATGGAGGAGTGAGGAGGAAGAAGAAGGAAGGAGGAAGAAGAAGAAAAACGAGGCGAGTGAAGGAGGAAGCTTACCTTGGATATGGTGGACAACATCTTTATCCCCCTCGTTGGTGCTGCACCTGGAAGGCCCCTGAATCAGGATATGAAGTTAAGAGGACTCCGGACAGTAATGTAGGCTTGGCGGTTGAAGTGGCAGGGTCAAGAGAGCTTTGCATTGTCCTCTGAACATCCGGGCTAGGCCTGGATGCTGCTGCCATAGCCGGATGCTCAACCAAGTAGTGATAGGAGGCGTAGGTAAGCAAAGGTGACTTCTTGTGATGCCGGCAGTAAGGGGGACACTGATTCTGGTCCATTCATCCATTGTTATTGTTGTTATCATTATTACTTAACATCTTGGTGGAGATGATGGAGGAGAGAGATGGTGGCGAGATGAGGGAGGAGTGGCATTAGTCCCAGATTGTGTTCTTCTTCTTCTCCTCCTTCCATTTCCTGTTCTTTTTCTTCCTTTGTCTATTTCTCTTTCCAAACTTTCATTTCAGTTGCATATGAACGGCATTGTCTTGTTTTGAGTTTTGCAATGTGAAATTTCCGGAATTATAACAATTATATTTTTTTTTGAATTTTTAATTATACAATATAAATAAGATATGAATTGGGCAAAAAAGGAAGGAGATGTTCACCTGAGGAACTGGCAAGACTGCCAACAAGTCGATTATGAAGCTTCCCTTGAGATAGTGAATCGCCACCGCCCAACGGTCCGTGACAAGCTCTCCCCGTCCAAAAACTCGTGAGCACGGTTTCACATAGGCGATTCGGAACTGAAAGAGCATGTGGAAGAAGTAGGCACAGTCCAAGATAGTCCGCGCGGCGGTCAAAGACAATGCAAACCACATTTGAGTATAAATACACACGGCGCCGAGATTGACGGCTGGCAAGAGGTAGAAGAACGGATCCAGGTACACAGAGACCAGTGCGAGACAGATGAAGCCTCGTGTCCATCTCTGAACCACTTTGCTGGATGGATCACGCATCCGGAAGATTCCCTTCTCCTCCTCATTGTCAAATCTTGATGAGCAACACCTTGCTAGCCCTGTTTGTCCCGTCAGTTTTAATTGTAAGTATCCATGCCCACTGGAGTCCCTCGCATCTGTTCCACTAGTACTCTTCTTCCCTTTCGCTCCAACCATCTCCATCCCATCATCCGCCCCCACAGTGGAGGTACCTCCTCTCCGACACGGCTTTGAATTCCCTGCCATCCCATGCAAACTCCTCAAAATCCGTCCTTATTATTCCTTAAGTAATAAAATAATAATAAAATTCACTTTGTAAGTTACATCAGTATCAGCCAATTATCACTACAGCGTCCAGACCAATACTGCTAGTGAGTGTGTCCAGTTTTGAGTCCTCAGGAAGTAGCTTCTATGAACTGAATTCCAAGAAACAAAAACAAACCTTGTGCGAATTATTATCACCTCACCATATGTTGTGTTGATTCAGTCACAGAGCAACACGCCATGGAGCCCGAAAAGCCCGCATCTCTCCTCCGCAGGTCCACTCCTCCGCAGGTCCATGTGAATGTGCACTCTCACCTGCCTGTGTGCAGCAGACAAACCCTTCTTCTTTTGCTACATAGCTTCCAAGTTCTTTTCTCCCCCTTCAACAGCCTGATAGAACTATAGCCTCTGTGCAGCCATACGGCCGCCCAGACTTCTCAATGTCCTGCTTATGAGAGTAGTCTAGCTCCACATGTGTATACGGCAGCAGGTAAGTTGATAATGTAAGAACAAATGGCAGAATAACTAGGTTGTTTGTCCAGGCGACCGGGCACCCAACTTCTGCACGAGTACACGCTCGGGCTCCTCTGGCCATGTGCAGAAAACCTCAACCCAAAAAAAAAAAAGAAAAAAAAAAGGGAAGGCTGATTTTTGCCCGCACGAGGTGTCCCGTGCAGGTGACCCCCGAGCGACTTGCCTGGGTCGCACGGCCAGGCGAGACAAGTAGCCTAGCAGAATAACTGTTATAATAAAATACACTAATGGTTAATACTACTTAATAGGTGGTGTCATTTTCAGCGAAATTTTCACCAAAACTGCCATATTTCCCTGAATTTTTGCTTTTCTTTCTTCTTCTTTTTTTTTTGTGTGTGTGATATGTATGTGCTTTAGGGTATATCTGTATTCAGTTTCGATGTATTTGGACCAGTAACGAAAAAATATGAATACAAGGTTCTATTTGAATATCTGATGCAGTGATTTTTTTGGGGGCCTTTGGCAACTTACAACCTTTCTCTATTTTGCCTGGTATGATCCCACTTCAATCGGATCATTCGGATGTCCTTTTTCTTTTTATTCTTCCCAAAAGCCCAGGGTGTTGTAAAGGCCAAGGACCAGACTCACGGTAATCACTGGCAGCGGCAGCGGCAGCCAATGGTTGTCCTGACAGGATAGGCCACCTTCCCTACCCTTCCCCATGTTAATACTGCCAGCGCACTCCCTATCCCGACTATCCTACCTCAGTGTGACCAGCACTCAGGACCATCACCCTACCAGTATCAAGGGCAACTTGGACGAGACAGCAGTGACAAGCACCAAGGCTGCGCAACCCCCCAGCCCTAGTGGAAGCGGAAGCAGATGAACCTTGCCGTACAGGTACTTCAGACGTCAGGCTCATGCAATCTTCTACAGGCCCAATAACAGAGAGTCTACCCAGCAGGGGTACCTAGGCAAGGCAAGCTCACGCCCACGGACACAGCCTACCATCCTTCCGCTAACTTACTCCGGCGGAACAAGGACTAGCTGGAGCAACTTATATCCCTACCCTACCCTAGAGTCTAAGCCATGCATGAGCAGACCCCGTCATGTACCTGATAGAACCCCCCAGCCCAGTATTATGGTTGGTTATGTATATGTGTGCCCAGAGGCTATGTATATATGAGCCCGTAGGCTGTGTATGTTCACAAGCCATGGCTTTGTGTATGCCCGGCGGCTATGTATGCTCTGTGTAGCTGTATAGCAGGATGTATGGGCCCGAACGCCAGATACGTGCAGTACTATGTAGAGGGAACTATGTGTTCTTGAAGAGATGACAGGCCAAGCTGGACAAGAACCCCCCCAAAGTCCCAAGCCAGACTCGAACCCGTGATCTATGACATATGACCAGAAGACTCTACCATATGAGCAACAGTCGCAAATGGCACCTATGTGTGATATGCTAGACCGGGGAGATCAACAGAACAACCACAACCAACAGCGACAAGCAACCCACGCAGCATCAAGACCGGACATACAACACCGTGGACAACCCTTGGGTGGTGCGCAAGCATAGGCTGTAAGAGCTTACCTGCATCAGACCAAGGGGGTATGCAAGTGACTGTGCGTTATGTAAACACCCTCCGGTGTCTCTGCGCGAAGATGTGGAGTTTTGAACCCACACCCTCAGACCACAACGTGCATTGACAGCCGGTGCCCTAACCACTGAGCCACAGTGCAACTTGCTGAATAGGATGTCCTGAACAGATTCACGTACAGAACAGCTCCCAGGGCATACTCACACTGGTACTTTTCTACTAAGCTCTGGACGTGATTGCAGTCAGATTCATCCAGATCTCTGATCGTAATTGCAGTCAGATACATTAAAAAAGTGTTAGTGCGAGTATGCCCTCATACCACCAACAAAACCCCACCAAGGTTCTTCTTGCCTATGATAAGGACATGGAAGCTCTGCAAAACACAAACAGGGGCAATATCACATGCAGCCTGTTTATTCCCAAAAGTCTCTGCAGGTGATTAGACTCATGTCTACCAAGATCGTGAACACATACACAGCAACACTCTTGTCATGCACGGAGTTGAGCTGTACCTACCAACTTCGGGTATTCAACGTCAGAACTACGAGACCTCTTTCAACTGTGCAGATCTGCTCTGTAAAGACCTGACATCTTCACGGATCTTAAAATTTGCCTTGCTTCACTGTTTCTCCACAACCATAATCAACGGTCCCTATCAGATCTGAGATTAAAAAAATAATAATAATAATAATAATAAAAAAAAAAACATTTCTCATATGCACCAGTACATAAAAGAGAGTCCATCCTCCGTCAACCACAGAAACATGCTAGCAGGTTTCAAAACCGAACGGACTGTAACAGACTACGAATGACTCTGGAGTCTGGACCGATCAACACCGCCCTCTCTCTGAACCGATTGGATGATGTGAACAGAGTATCGGCAAACGCTCAAGCAAAAAAAAAAAAAAAAAAAAGAGTGCTATTTTTTGGCGCCAAAACCACTAATTACACTTTGACAGACCACAAATACCACTGGATAAGCTAATCAACAAACTCCCTCATAAGGAAACTCCCAACCATGCCGAATTCCATCTTCCTATATTATTTATTTATTTTATTTATTTTATTTATTTTAATATTTATTAGTTTTATACAGCACTTTCCAGAATCTGTATCAGCTGCTGGCACTGATTTAGTGAAATATTTAACATTTTCAATGATTCTTTTTCGTTTAGGTATTTGGGGAAGCTCTTTAAATAGAAAGAATATCCTTTGCATATAACAACTTCCCCCTCTCTCTGTTCCCCTTAAGAACCCCTATCATCCCGAAACACCTGATAATCTATGAGACCTTATCGTCTGCATTGCAAATCATCCTTTCACCTCCTCTGATTCTGCAAATTAATGAAGGTAAGCATTCCTGCCACTTCATCAAAGGTAAACTTTAAGCGTTCCCGCCACTAACGTAAACATTCCCGGCCACTTCATCAAACGTAAACATCCCCTCCGCTTCAATGTAGGGAAGCGTTCCCACCACTTTAGCTCATACTGTACTTTTCACATTCTGAAGTCTCTCCGTTCCACGTCACCAGTGGAATAAACCCACCAACGACGCTTCGCTTAAACCACCAGTACATGGACACCAGGGCCGCGGGTCTGACACCTCAAATTCTGGAGGCGTGAAATGAAAACGGGGCCGCCGATCAAATTTATCAACGGCGGGCCCAGAGTTTGACGTTTCGGCCTCGTTTTCTTGTGGCGACAAGTTTTGGACTGCAAGGCTGGGGCCGTGTACTTGTGGTTTGAAGGACCAATACATGCCAGCCATCGGCTGCAGGGCCCTTTCAGAGGCCGCCCGCCACCAATGTATTTATCAACAGCGCGCGAGCCTCCAAAATTCTAGGAGAGGCTCAATCGGATTCTCAACTTGGCTGGGGCCATGTACTGGTGGTTTAAGTCATACAATAGGATAAGACAAAATCTGTAACTGCCACGTCCCGAGTAGATAACGCAGCAACACCTCAATGAACTTGTGCGTACAGGTTTTAGCAGGGACACGTTCCCGGGAACGGGACAAGTTTGCAACTTGGCAAACAAAGAGTGTCATCCAGTCCCAGAGGGACCCATTGAATACGGTGGCTGGTGAGGTCGCCGATTCGCCAATCCATGATGATATGGGGTTGCTTCGATTCCTGCCACAACAGTGAAAAGGCCATCAAGGACATTGGATAAGAAAGAATGAACGACCTGTACAAAGAAGAAACCTCCTCCTCCTCCTCCTCCTCCTCCTCCTCCTCCTCCAGAAGAAAACAAAGGACAAAGAAAAAAAAGAAGAAGGAACCACCCATCAACTGTTGAAATGCAGACCTGAGTTTGAGTCCAGATGGAACCAGATGAAAAAAATTCCTGGATTACCTAAGGGCCGGTCAGTTTCACGATGATACCTCAAGGCTGTCGCCTTTATAAAAAAAAAAGAAGAAGAAAAAGACGAAGGAAAAACGAGGAGGGAAAGAAAGAAAAAAAAAGACAGAACATGCTTCCAGGTGGGAACTGTGAATGGATAAGGCTTTGCAATTCAATGCATAGAGGACGCATTCACGACCCAATGAGGACAGGAGAATACGACAGTGAAGGAGAATAGCAACCATCGACCAAAGCATGTTAGACGAAGATTTGAAACTCTTGATCTACATATTCACAGATGCCTCTAGACCAGGGCATACCCATACCGGCATCAGGGGCTGAACTCGCCAGAGAGAGCACTTCAATCGCTCTTGTTGTAGCCGAGCAAGAAGATGTGCAGTTATGCACATTTTCAAAATCTGTCATGTGTAGCAAAGGGGCTGGCACCGCGTCCTTCAAGAAGTTTCAACCTCCTGTCTTACCACAAGGGAGAAAAACTCCTCCCCAGCCCAAAACGAAAGAAGCAAGTCTGTCTTGGGAGACACTCAAGATTACTTCCA